TGGTCTGTTAAGTTATATAGTGGGGAATTCTTGAGGATGAATTTCTGAACCCACTTGACATTTATCGGAAAGGGATTTCGGCCATTTTGGACGGCTGACGTATTGTTTTTTTCTGTCAGTGGGTATTCAGTCACGAGAGACGATTTTTGTGTCGAAATAGAATTTTCTTAATATTTAGCCCCATCGGCTTACCCTAATTAAAGGGGATTTTAGATTCTATTTCATGGTTAATTGTGGGTAAATGGACATTTCGTATTTTGAGGGGAATTTTAGTGAATTGGTAAATTCCCATGGTCATTGGTCCAGCCCATATCTAATATAGGATTTTAACGCAATAATCGGGAGTTCACAGCATTTGGAGTGTGGAATATTGTTGTACTGTGAATCATCTCACGTGGTTCTCATCCTTGAAAGGCTACCAAGTTAACCCTTTACGAAAAAGGTATGTTTTGTATATATTAGGTTATGTTACCAACCATGTGTAACAGAATTTTAATTATTGGAGCTCATAATACTGTTTATGACTCACTGTTGAGCCAATGTAGTTTTTCTTTATCCTAGATACTGAATATTTTCTAGTTTATGTACATTTTTGGGTAATCCTATAGTTCGGGATACTTGAGTCAATGTGTATTGACATTTTTCTTTGTAATATTTTAAGGGTTTAACCCAGGGGCTTGTTAGCCCAAGATTCGTCAACAGTTTCACCTAGGGGTTGTTGACCCAGGATTTCAACAGTTGTACACAGAGGGTTATATCGTCCGGAGTTCAATGGTTTCATCGAGGGAACACAGAACATTGGTATGCTAGCCACCTAGTTTACTTGTAGCTAGATTTACAATGATGATTCATCGTTCTGGATAGGAAGATGGGAATGCTGTGAAAGAAGACACCCTACTATCAGGTTTTTCTTATACGTTATATTGAAGGTTTCATGTGTGCATTGTTAAACTATACATTCACTTTCAACCGAATGTTGTCAAGGTATTCTCAACATTATTTATACTTTTGAGCACAGAATGTTCTAGGGTTATTTCACTCATAACTTAAGTATTATCAAATAGTACATCGTTTAATTGATTAATATTTCAAGCTTTTACTTAATTTAAGCACTTAATGCTGATGTAGTAATCCTTCGGGTCGCAGAACACTTGGACTGCTTCCACGCTTAAGTTGTAATTCTTCAGTTATTAAGGGCTACTGCCATAATTTTACTTTATTCAATTTATTCATTATTAAATGGTCCAGACTTAACGATTAAGTTAAGCAATCTCAGAAGACCCGTGTGGGGGCAGAGATTAAGTAACCTCTTCCAATCTGGGAGTTTAATTAAATAACCTCTGTCTAAAGTCCTTTATATGTTGTATTTTTATTATTTTTTTTGATATTTTTATTTAGTTCTATGAATTATACTTAATTATAAAATTTCATGGTTTAATAATTTTCTTTTGGGTAGTTTGGTCTTAACCAAAAGTTAAGCAGATATCGCCTTCCAATTTGGAGAGGGTTATAAGATTATAAAGATTATAAGTTTACTGTTTTTATAATATATGAAGTAGTATAGGTACGGTGATGCACAATATTTAAGTTAACTATTATATTATATTTTTTTTATGTAAGGTGGAAATTAATGTTTTGCGCAAGCGTCATGCCTGGTACCAAGCTAACGACGAACCGTTCCATACTTTGATACATTTATTAATTTTTTTGGGTTATGCATATACATACACTGTGTAAGTTTTTTTCCTTTTAATTTCCTCCAACTTTTTTTTTTATCTAAGCCATCAGGTAATTAGTTTGTATATTTACTAAATATTATTATTTTTTTCTTTATAAAGGAACATAAGTTGAGGTTTGTCTTTTATTTCTTTCCTCATTTACTGGGTTTTTGGGGAAATAGGATCATAGTTTGGCCACTATATAGACCCAGTTGGCGCCTATTTATTTGTCTACTATTTCCGGAATTTTTGTAAGCTATCCACCCCCTAGCTGCCGTCTGAGCGACGTCGAAGGCCCGAAGGTTGACACCGGAACAACCGAAACTTGTGTAACCGTAGTAGACAACATTTTAATTGTAGTTATTACTTTAATAATTTTTTTTTAAGTTTAAAAATTTTGGTGGAATCACCAAGTTCATTTTGTAGGTTACAATATGTCTACAATCTAATGAGAATGTTATGACAAAACCTGATATGTAGACATATCATGTTCTGACTTGGCCGATTTTTATTGAAGAGCCAAGACAAAATGTGATGTCACAATTTAGGTTTCGACGAGTTTTAGTTTTAGGCGTGGTCATATCGCGTGCAAGGCAAGGTCTTGTAGCATTTGTTTGTATACGGTGTTGATGTTTTGTAGTCTGCGCAGTATGGCTAGCAGGGTTAAGCTATTGGTGCAGCTTGTAAATGAACAGATCTCTGAAGAGGCTGAGGATCGTACGACTAATTACGGCGATAACAGTTTTCAAAATCACGAAGGTGAGTACATAAGGCTTTCTCATAATTAATGCGTGTTGGACAAAAACTATTATCGGATTTCTTACTTTTTAAACTGGGTTTGCAACCTAAAATATAACAAATATATTTATAAGGAATGTTAAAAACTATACTACTTTTAAATCTCGTTTTTCATGTTTTTAATTTATACTGAATATTATTAATTATGGGAAAGACATATGCAAATCTAAAATCAGTTGACCTATGCATATGACGAAATTCCGACGAAGATAGCGACGACTCTATAGCTGATAGTGACTTTAATCCAAATTTTGAAGAAGATGTTGACTCATATGATAACGATTCTCATTTGAATTTTGAACCAACTTCAAAACTCAGACGGGCGAGTCAGTATATTAGGCATTGACACACAAAATGAACGTAATACAGAGATTGAGAATAAACCTGATGAAAATGAAGACAATGTCTTGCTGCCTATTGCTAGTAAGAATATATGTTTTTTTTTTCTTTTGACTAGGGAGGTAACCAATTTTATGAAATTTTATCTGATGGAGGTAATCAGAAGATAAATAGAAAAATGCACAGATAACTAAAAATACAGGGACTAGAATACGTGAATAGGAAAAAAACTATACTAGCAAAAGAATGCAGTATTATTAATGTATGTTGCTGAGCAAAACGCCATACTTTCTGTCCACCTACCACTCAAGTAGAACTATTTGGATGTTTTCATAAATTAACAAAAGAATCTCAGAAAAAGATTATTAATAATGGAATCTCATTGCTCAAAAAGGAAACGGAACAGGGAGGGAATATTTCAGAGATATAACTGCTATATAACAAATAAAGATTGATTACAAACTTGTTAAAGTCTGTAAAAAAAATGTTTCAGTGTGTTTATGGACTTGTTGATGTTTTTTTGTCATGAAAGTGGAACAGTGTAATGGATTGTTATTGCCTCTTGGAGATAAGCGTGGGCGTCACGAGCCAAAAAACAAAAGGACAAAACAACGTGAAGCAATGAGAGAACAAATAGAGAAATATCCAAAGTATGACAGTCATTATACTTGGAGAGAAACCATCAAAAAATATCTGTCAAGTCATCTTAATATAAGGAAAATGTATAAAAAATATAAACACGATTGTGATTTGTCTGGCAGAATGGACTGTGGATCGTACAGCATGTTTTCCGAGGAGTTCAGAAAAACTGGTTACAAGTTTAAGCAACTTAAAACGGATACTTGCAAAACATGCGATTTTTTCGTGAACTTGAAACAGTGAAAGAATCCAGAAGAGAAAGCGAAATATCAAAGTGACTATGAGGTTCATACAAAAGTGGCTGATGATGGTTATGAGGAAAAACGGCTGGACAAAGAGAGCTGTATTCGCGATGCAAGCAGAATTGTACTCGTTTTTAATTAACAGCAAGTTCTTAGTACCCCATCACTGACAGCTGACGTATTTAATTAACGCTTTTTGTCAACCTGCAACCTGACAATACGTGACTGCTCTCAAGAAGGCGGTACATTGTGTTACATGTGGCATGAGGCAATTGGTAGAAGAGATTCTGAGCAAATAGCATACTGTTTATTTAAAAAGCTTTAGTGTATTACTGATTAGGTTTCGCACGTGATTACATATTCAGACACCTATGGTGGTCAGAATAGAAATATAAACATGGATATTATGTTTAGCTACGTTGCAACTTCTTAAAAACTATTTCTATTATTGACTAGAAATTTCTTCTTCCTCGACATACTCGTCTTGAGTGTGATGCAGACCATGCTAGAATTTAAAGAGCAAAGAAATCCTACAACGTTCCAATAATGGTCCCCAGAGATTGGTACACATTTGTGGTAGCAGTCAGGGACAAAAAGCCTTTCACAGTTGAAAAAATTACTCAAAAAACTTTATTTCCTTTTCTAAGTTTTTAAAAACACATTTGGTTAAAAGAAATTTAGATACAGAAAACGAAAAGATTAAGTGGCTACACAATAGATGGCTTCGATATGAGAAAAAGTTTGGACTTATAAAATTCAAACGATCTCTTTCAAAAGACGAGCCATTCAGAATTTTAAATTTACGGCGTACACGACAGTCAAGTTCAAACAGATTGGGAAAGAAACCTCAGTTGGATATCAATGACTTGAGGCTACCTAGTTGTTACTACAATGGACTACTTCCCATAAATACCTTAAAAAAGAAAGATTTTATTAGTCTTATCAAAGAGCTCTTTGATGAAGACTGCCATGATCTTTACCATAATCTGCAGACATCTGAAGAGGCATGTTAGTTGGCATTTTTGGACGACCATAGTGACCCAAACGAAGAAGACCAGTAGTATACTTTGTATTTTGTAATGTTAGAATATTTGAATATGTTTAATGTGTCCCAATTAAAATAAACCATATTTTTCTTAATTTTTAGTGATTGGTTTTATTTGTTATGTTTAAAATACACCTGAAAATACATAATGGCAAAACTTGATACGTCAGTAATTTTTATAAAAAAATTAAATAATAATCAAGTCTCAGTCAGAATTTTCTACCGTCCAGTTCAAGTAATATCTATACAAAAAATCACAACAAATGAACTATGCAGAGCGTTGCTAAGCTAATGCTCTATATCATAAATCTTTAAACTAGCTCTCATGTAAAATTAGCAAAAAGTGACATATCAGTTTCTGCCTTATTACCACAGATTGAAAATGTTGTGTCCCAGTTCCAGTTGACGTCAAATAATCGGACTTGTGTTCCTAAAAAATAATTATACATACGAAAATGATAGTTTGCACACTTATTTGTTCTTAAGAAAGTAGCTTATATCACAGGCGTACTGAAATATATATCACACACGTATTGAAAAATGGCAAAAGACACATGTTTTGAAAAGAAAAAAAATATCGTCCTATGACCTGTGACATGTACGTCAAAGTTATTATTATAATTGTCATTACAAATTTTTATATAACATCAAATGAGCAATAAAGTTTTTTATGTAGGTATTTAAAATTATAAAATAATAATAGAACATGTTTACTCACTATTATTTATCGAATATTGGAACATTTTCTATAAAGGTACTTCTGGAAAGGAAATAATTTTCTTCTTCTTTTCTATAGTGTTATTTTCGGTTTCAAATACGACAATGCGAATTTTTGAGGTTATATTTATGTTTACAATACACCTTTCTGTAGGTGTCTATTAGTCTATTAGTTTATTGCGATTTGTATTCAAATACATACTAGTGTCTACAAGATAATTGAAACTTTAAAATTAGGTGTTATCAAGATTACTGGTTAATGCATTTAAAAGAAAGTGTAGGAAAACTTATTCTTTATGGTTATTGTGATCATACTAAACCCAACAGGTAAGTTTAAAGTTTAAAAATTTGAAAAAGTACATTAAATAGGCTGTGGTATTAATTGTCAAACACACAAGCAGTCAATTTGTAAAATTTTATTTTATTGTAAAATTGTACTGAGCTCGCAAAAAAATGGATTCTAGTGATTCCGAATGTACGCCTCCAGAAACAGCAGAAGCTGCTAAAAACACGTCGCTCAAATTGTTGCCTGCTAAATTCAGAGTAAGGTATCAATTTGCTTATGATCAATTCATTAAATGGAGACAAAGGAAACACATAAAGAGTTCGTTTTCTGAAAATGTTCTACTGGCCTATATGAATGAATTATCATCAAAAGTGCAAAGTTCGACTTTGTGGACACAGTACTCAATGTTGAGAACTACTCTGTCTATTGAACACAATGTTGATTTTTCTAAGTATCTAAAATTAAAGGCATTCTTAAAGAGAAAAAGTCCTGTCGCAACAAGAAATAATAAATTTCATAGAAACAGCTCCAGATGAATTATATTTATTTACATGTGAGCAAGTTTAATATCTATTATTTGGTTCAATGTGTAAGTATTTTTTATTATTTAAGGTTGCACTTATCCTTGGAATATCAGGAGCATGACGTAAGCAGGAGCTCACACAGTTGACTATAAACGATATAGAGGATTTGGGTACAGCAGCTGTAATAAAAATAAACCAAGTATCCAAAAAATTCAGGTTTACTGGACCGTTTTATACTATATTTAAAAAATATGCTAATTTTAGGCCACCAACCACTCAACTAAGGTTTTTTCTTAAATATAAAAATAAAAAATGTACCCAACAAGTAGTGGGTATAAACAAAATAGGCACTGTGCCAAAGGTAGTGGCAAAGTTTTTAAATCTTCCGAATCCAGAACAATATACTGGCCACACCTTTAGGCGTTCTTCTGCAACAATTTTGGTAGATGCAGGAGCCGATCTAGCTGCATTAAAGCGCCACGGGGGATGGAAATTCTCTACCGCGGCCGAGCAGTACATAGATGATTCTGCAACTAATAGATTTATGACTGCTAATAAAATAATGAACACCATTTGCAGCACAAGCCATTCAACGAAGAAGTTGCATGTAAAAACATTGAAAAATACTCTGAACAAAATGCTGAAACTACACAACCCAGATACAGTGTAAGTTTGTGTACTTCATCTATACAGCAACAAATTAATGTAGATCCACAAGAGACAAATAAACACATATATTAGGGGAACCACTGAAAATAATAATAATGCAACATTACAAAATCCACTGCAATTTAGTAAATGTTATAACAATTTTACTTTTTACTTTTATAACGTCCCAGAAAAAAAGTAAAACAAAATTAATAATAATTATTCAGTTCATACAGTTTAGTTACAAACATTTCCTAATTATTATATTAGTTATTTCTAGTTTAGTTACAAATATTTTTTATCCATTCCATTAGTTATCTCTACTTTAGATGTAAATTTTTATAAACTATTCTGTTAGTATCTCTGCTTTAGTTATAAATGTTTCTTATTGTTATATTAGTTCTTGTTCTGCTTGAGTTATAAATATGTTTTAAACATTGTATTAGTTCTTGTCATTTCTACAAAATGAAAAATATTTTGGATGAGTTTTTTACTTTTCAACACATGTGTTGATATTCTTTTCAACACATGTGTTGACATTCTTTTCAACACATGTGTTGATATTCTTTTCAACACATGTGTGATATTCTTTTCAGTACATGTGTGATATAGTTTAATTGACTTTCTCATTTAAAAAAGAAGTTTTTTAAGGATTTTGTGTGTGGTCGTAGGAAAGATAGGGTACACAACTCGTTGGAAAGTGTATTTCTCGCACTGGTTTAGTTTTCGTACTCGCCGCTACGCGGCTCGTGCTAAATTTCAACTCGTGCTATATGTTGCACTTTCCACACTTGTTATGTAATATACTATTGCGCGCGCTTCGACAAGCAACTGATTTGTAAAATGTAACATTTTTATATGTTATAATATATTTATTTTTTTATTAATAGTAAACTAAATCATACTCGCTAGTTCCAAAAATAGATGGAACGAAAGCCAGGTAGACATTGTTTACTATAATTTTAACAATATTACAATTTTATATATAGTAAGAACTAATCATAAACACTAAACAAAAATAAGCACAGTCATTACGTAGTAAAAAAAATACAATATTATTTTAACAAAATACCAACTCCTTGCAACTGGACTCAAAATGCATTCGTTCTACATGTTGTAATTACATTCACGTGAAAATAGAAACCATAATGGCTCTTGGTTAAAATTTAATTTAAATTGAATACATTTAAAAACATTTTTCTGGAATTGAATGTTTCTAGTTTGTTATTTTTTTTTTAATTGGCAACTATATTTTTAAACCGCAGCAATATTGTGTTCGAAGAGTATTTTGGTAATATTGGTGTTTATTTTTTAATTTTTTTTTGAAGTATAAATATAGCTCGGTGAAATTGAATTTAAAAATTGTTATTAAAGGTACGAGCAAACTGCTAAGCCAGTGAAGCAGAGCATAGTATAAGTAGTAATATATGGTGATGTATAAGGAATGGGTCATATTGTACCTGTATATTTTATAACAAAATATAATATTTTTTTGGTTAATAACTTAAAATCAAATATTATGATGATTTCCGTTAAACAAAGATACTTTACGTAGCGCCCTCTATGCAATAAATCAGTCATTGTACCCATGTTTATAAGTATGAATGAAAAAGTAACAGATTATAACATTAACAATTTATTTCTATCACCCTTAATCTAAGTAAATATTAATATTCGACCCCAGATATTGAGCAAAAAATAAAAAGAATTCGCAATTAAATTTACATGTACAATGATGTTACCCATTATTTGTAAATAACCCTTTATAATTAATATATTAAAATTTTAAAGTTTTTAAAAATATACCGCATCTGTAACTGTTACTTTATTTGTTCCTCAAATAACTATTCTATTAGAAAAATACTTTTTTATTAACTTTAAAACTTAACATCAAGAAATTATGACTAAATATTTTGTCTTTATAGAGAAAATTTTGACATTTGCAGTAGGTACTTTGCCGAGCAGTTGTCACTTTTCCGAGCAGTTATGTCAATTTTCCGATCTGGACCGGCAACGATGCACTTTCCGAGCTAAAAAATGATCGGAAAAACGCATTAAACATAATAAAATTTAAAAAATACAAATTTTTGATATTGTTTTGGCATTTAGCTGCGATGTATTACAAATGACACAATTTCAATTTAAAAGTCGCCAATTCATAGCAGCTTTGGATTTACAAAGCGTCAATTTTAGTAATTTAGTTTGGTGATTTAAAATAGTTTTTTAAAGGAGGAAGAAATTGGAAATATCGAAAATAAACAATAAAAATAAATCATAAAAATAAATAAAAATAAATAATAAAAATTATTAAAAATTAATAAAAATTAATAAAAATTAATAAAAATTAATAAAAATTAATAAAAATTAATAAAAATTACATAAAAAATTAATAAAAATTAATAAAAATTAATAAAAATTAATAAAAATTAATAAAAATTAATAAAACTTAATAAAAATTAATAAAAATTAATAAAAATTAATAAAAATTAATAAAAATTAATAAAAATTAATAAAAATTAATAAAAATTAATAAAAATTAATAAAAATTAATAAAAATTAATAAAAATTAATAAAAATTAATAAAAATTAATAAAAATTAATAAAAATTAATAAAAATTAATAAAAAGTAATAAAAATTAATCAAAATTAATAAAAATTAATAAAAATTAATAAAAATTAATAAAAATTAATAAAAATTAATAAAATTAATAAAAATTAATAAAAATTAATAAAAATTAATAAAAATTAATAAAAATTAATAAAAATTAATAAAAATTATAAAAATTAATAAAAATTAATAAAAATTAATAAAAATTAATAAAAATTAATAAAAATTAATAAAAATTAATAAAAATTAATAAAAATTAATAAAAATTAATAAAAATTAATAAAAATTAATAAAAATTAATAAAAATTAATAAAAATTAATAAAAATTAATAAAAATTAATAAAAATTAATAAAAATTAATTAAAAATTAATAAAAAATTAATAAAAATTAATAAAAATTAATAAAAATTAATAAAAATTAATAAAAATTAATAAAAATTAATAAAAATTAATAAAAATTAATAAAAATTAATAAAAATTAATAAAAATTAATAAAAATTAATAAAAATTAATAAAAATTAATAAAAATTAATAAAAATTAATAAAAATTAATAAAAATTAATAAAAATTAATAAAAATTAATAAAAATTAATAAAAATTAATAAAAATTAATAAAAATTAATAAAAATTAATAAAAATTAATAAAAATTAATAAAAATTAATAAAAATTAATAAAAATTAATAAAAATAATAAAAATTAAAAAATAATAAAATTAATAAAAATTAATAAAAATTAATAAAAATTAATAAAAATTAATAAAAATTAATAAAAATTAATAAAAATTAATTAATAAAAATTAATAAAAATTAATAAAAATTAATAAAAATTAATAAAAATTAATAAAAATTAATAAAAATTAATAAAAATTAATAAAAATTAATAAAAATTAATAAAAATTAATAAAAATTAATAAAAATTAATAAAAATTAATAAAAATTATTAAAAATTAATAAAAATTAATAAAAATTAATAAAAATTAATAAAAATAATAAAAATTAATAAAAATTAATAAAAATTAATAAAAATTAATAAAAATTAATAAAAATTAATAAAAAATTAATAAAAATTAATAAAAATTAATAAAAATTAATAAAAATTAATAAAAATTAATAAAAATTAATAAAAATTAATAAAAATTAATAAAAATTAATAAAAATTAATAAAAATTAATAAAAATAATAAAAATTAATAAAAATTATTAAAAATAATAAAAATTATTAAAAATTAATAAAAATTAATAAAAATTAATAAAAATTAATAAAAATTAATAAAAATTAATAAAAATTAATAAAAATTAATAAAAATTAATAAAAATTAATAAAAATTAATAAAAAATTAATAAAAATTAATAAAAATTAATAAAAATTAATAAAAATTAATAAAAATTAATAAAAATTAATAAAATTAATAAAAATTAATAAAAATTAATAAAAATAATAAAAATTAATAAAAATTAATAAAAATTAATAAAAATTAATAAAAATTAATAAAAATTAATAAAAATTAATAAAAATTAATAAAAATTAATAAAAATTAATAAAAATTAATAAAAATTAATAAAAATTAATAAAATTAATAAAATTAATAAAAATTAATAAAAATTAATAAAATTAATAAAAATTAATAAAAATTAATAAAAATTAATAAAAATTAATAAAAATTAATAAAAATTAATAAAAATTAATAAAAATTAATAAAAATTAATAAAAATTAATAAAAATTAATAAAAATTAATAAAAATTAATAAAAATTAATAAAAATAATAAAAATAATAAAAATTATTAAAAATTAATAAAAATTATTAAAAATTATTAAAATTAATAAAATTAATAAAAATTAATAAAAATTAATAAAAATTAATAAAATTAATAAAAATTAATAAAAATTAATAAAAATTAATAAAAATTAATAAAAATTAATAAAAATTAATAAAAATTAATAAAAATTAATAAAAATTAATAAAAATTAATAAAAATTAATAAAAATTAATAAAAATTAATAAAAATTAATAAAAATTAATAAAAATTAATAAAAATTAATAAAAATTAATAAAAATTAATAAAAATTAATAAAAATTAATAAAAATTAATAAAAATTAATAAAAATTAATAAAAATTAATAAAAATTAATAAAAATTAATAAAAATTAATAAAAATTAATAAAATTAATAAAAATTAATAAAAATTAATAAAAATTAATAAAAATTAATAAAAATTAATAAAAATTAATAAAAATTAATAAAAATTAATAAAAATTAATAAAAATTAATAAAAATTAATAAAAATTAATAAAAATTAATAAAAATTAATAAAAATTAATAAAAATTAATAAAAATTAATAAAAATTAATAAAAATTAATAAAAATTAATAAAAATTAATAAAAATTAATAAAAATTAATAAAAATTAATAAAAATTAATAAAAATTAATAAATTTAATAAAAATTAATAAAAATTAATAAAAATTAATAAAAATTAATAAAAATTAATAAAAATTAATAAAAATTAATAAAATTAATAAAAATTAATAAAAATTAATAAAAATTAAAAAAAATTAATAAAAATTAATAAAAATTATTAAAAATTAATAAAAATTAATAAAAATTAATAAAAACTAATAAGAATTAATAAAAATTAATAAAAACTAATAAGAATTAATAAAACCTAATAAAAATTATTAAAAAATTTTTAAAATTTATTAAAAAATAATAAAAATTTCAAAAAAGCGGGATCGGGTAAGCTATTACTTACATAAATTTTTCAGAAATCTTTTTTTAAATTTGTCGGTAAAATATAGATTTTTATAGATAAAATATTTATTGGTGTTTATTAGTTACATTTAAAAATACACAAAATTCAAGTAAAAATAGATAAACGATTTTAGTTATGTTTTTACTGGACCACATGTAGGACAGCATCTGCATTTTGGAGTGTAACTTGTTGATCCAGTGATACAATTTACTAGGGGACAAACTACTGAAGCACAATTTTTTGGTGTCAAACAATTATTATTTGGAATACACGTAGGGCAACATTTGCACCGTTGCAATAAAGGAAACTCATTGGAATCACATCGTTTACAATCTCTTGGATTACATTTTAAAACTGGTTGACATTTTTCTATACATTCACTTGTTTTTATGACGAGTGTAAATGTTATTATAAAAATAAAATATAATTTCATGATGATTTCTGTTGACTTAAATTACAAATACTTTTTAGCTGTATTTTTATCCTTTAAATATCACTCAGTTAATTATATTTATATGTAATAAAAAATGTAAAATACATGGAAGGCGAATTTATAATTACATATCGCTTGTTTTTAATTAAAGATAATTCAAATGGTTTTTCCGGAATAGAAACACAGTAATTTTATTGATGCAACTACTTTTAATAAGAATCAATTTTTTTTTAAATGTATATAAATAATTTTCTAAAGGGAAAATTGTTTTTTAGACACACTAAAAAACCAATTTATATTCATTAGGTTTCGGGTATTCCACAACCTTATCAAAATATTATAAATATTTATAAAATCTGTTTACTCAAAAGACATTTTGTATTTAATATGTGAAATTTCATATTACAAAATATATACTACAGAGTGAAGTAAATGTGTACCTAATTTTCTCGAAACCAGATTTTCAGAAATTTAAAAAATTTAGAAAGTGTGGATGTAAGGACATACCTGTTGATTTCTTGTTAATTCAAACTCTTAATATTAGGGAGCATATATACAAAATAGTTTCATAATAAAGTATTGTAAACAGAAGGGCTTGTAGATCTTAACTAATTATTAAAAAATACCAAATATACATTTTCTGTAACTGCCCCAGTTTTCATTCTAAAAAATAAAATAAATTTCATTAATACATAATTTTATAAATATTTTCCTTTGCGGTAAAATGTTTAACTTACAAATATGTTCATGTTAGTTAATCGCAATTATTATTTAACACACTCTATTTCGATAAATTGCAATAGCGCATGGGCGCAAATCAAGGACTGAGAAAACTTTTTGAACATCCTATATTTTATAAAAAAAGGATTAATTAATAATTATTCCTCAAGTAGTTTGCTGCAAAAAAAACGGCTTTTGATTGATATCTGTGGAAT